ATCCCTCGTAGCTCTGGGACGAGTCTCGTTGCAAACCTCTGAACCTTTTCCAGTTTCATTATATGCTTCTTCAGATGGGGACTCCATGATGAGGCGGCATACTCTAAAACTGGCCTCACGTAGGCTGTGTAAAGCACCCTAAATGCCTCCTTACTTAGGTTTCTGAATGATGTTCTAACTTTTGCCAGTGTAGAGTACGCTGCTGTCGTTATCGTATTTATATGTGCCTTAGGAGATTGATTAGGTGTTACGTCCACCCCCAGGTCTCTTTCACGCGTCGTCACAGGTAGGCTGTTCCCCTTCATTGTGTACTGTCCCTTTGGTCTCCTATCTCCTAGTCCCATTTCCATAACTTTACATTTGCTCGTGTTGAATACCAGTAGCCAATACTCTGACCATCTCTGCAACCTGTTCAGGTCCTCTTGTAGGATCCTGCAATCCTCGTCTGTCACAACTCTTCTCATCAACTTTGCGTCATCCGCAAACATCGACATGTAGGACTCTACGCCTGTAAACATGTCGTTACCATATACAAGAAATAGAATTGGTCCCAGCACCGATCCTTGTGGTACTCCACTTGTTACTGTTCGCCAGTCCGACTTCTCTCCCCTTACCGTAACTCTTTGGCTCCTTCCTGTTAGGTAGTTCCTTATCCATGCTAGGACCTTTCCCCCCACCCCCGCCTGCCTCTCGAGCTTGAACAGCAGTCTCATGTGCGGTACTGTATCAAAGGCTTATTGGCAGTCCAGAAATATGCAGTCTGCCCAACCATCTCTGTCCTGTCTTATCCTCGTTAATTTATCATAGAATTCCAGGAGGTTTGTTAGGCACGATTTCCCTGTCCAGAACCCATGTTGATGTTTGTTCACAAACCTAATGTTCTCCAGGTGTGCAACCAGTCGTAGCCTAATTATTCATTCCAGTATTTTACAGGGGATGCTTGTCAGTGATACAGGTCTATAGTTAAGTGCCTCCTCCCTATCACCTTTCTTGAAGATCGTGTGTGTGTTTCACACACCTTTCTGTGTGTGTGTGTGTGTGTGTGTGTGTATGTGTATGTGTATGTGTGTGTGTGTGTGTGTGTGTGTGTGTGTGTGTGTGTGTGTGTGTGTGTGTGTGTGTGTGTGTGTGTGTGTACTCACCTAGTTGTGTTTTCGGGGGTTGAGCTATGGCTCTTTGATCCCGCCTCTGAACCGTCAATCAACAGGTGTACAGATTCATGAGCCTATTGGGCTCTATCATATCTACACTTGAAACTGTGTATGGAGTCAGCCTCCACCATATCACCTCCTAATGCATTCCATTTGTCAACCACTCTGACACTAAAAAAGTTCTTTCTGATATCTCTGTGGCTCATTTGGGCACTCCGTTTCCACCTGTGTCCCCTTGTGCGTGTTCCCCTTGTGTTAAATAGACTGTCTTTATCTACCCTATCAATTCCCTTCAGAATCTTGAATGTGGTGATCATGTCCCCCCTAACTCTTCTGTCTTCCAGCGAAGTGAGGTTTAATTCCCGTAGTCTCTCCTCGTAGCTCATACCTCTCAGCTCGGGTACTAGTCTGGTGGCAAACCTTTGAAGCTTTTCCAGTTTAGTCTTATCCTTGACTAGATATGGACTCCATGCTAGGGCTGCATACTCCAGGATTGGCCTGACATATGTGGTATACAAAGTTTTGAATGATTCTTTACACAAGTTTCTGAATACCGTTCGTATGTTGGCCAGCCTGGCATATGCCGCTGATGTTATCCGCTATATATCTGCTGCAGGAGACAGGTCTGGCGTGATATCCACCCCCAAGTCTTTTTCCTTCTCTGACTCCTGAAGAATTTCCTTTCCCAGATGATACCTTGTATCTGGCCTCCTGCTCCCTACACCTATCTTCATTACATTACATTTGGTTGGGTTAAACTCTAACAACCATTTGTTCGACCATTCCTTCAGCTTGTCTAGGTCTTCTTGAAGCCTCAAACAGTCCTCTTCTGTTTTAATCCTTCTCATAATTTTAGCATCGTCCGCAAACATTGAGAGAAATGAATCGATACCCTCCGGGAGATCATTTACATATATCAGAAACAAGATAGGACCGAGTACAGAGCCCTGTGGGACTCCACTGGTGACTTCACGCCAATCGGAGGTCTTACCCCTCACCGTAACTCTCTGCTTCCTATTGCTTAGATACTCCCTTATCCACTGGAGCACCTTACCAGCTACACCTGCCTGTCTCTCCAGCTTATGTACCAGCCTCTTATGCGGTACTGTGTCAAAGGCTTTCCGACAATCCATGAAAATGCAGTCCGCCCAGCCCTCTCTTTCTTGTAAATCTGTGCCACCTGGTCGTAGAATTCTATTAAGTCTCAGTCTCAGTCTCACTCTCTCTCACTCACACACTCTCTCTCTCTCTCTCTCTCTCTCTCTCTCTCTCTCTCTCTCTCTCTCTCTCTCTCTCTCTCTCTCTCTCTCTCTCTCTCTCTCTCTCTCTCACCTTGTTTGCTTACTCTCACTCCCCATACCTCCCTCCCGCCCCCTGCGCTCTGCCCATGCTTTCCCATATATACCCCCGGCCTCATTCCGGCACACACACACACACCTTTCATCTCCTGCCCCTTCCAACGAACACCCTTGCCTAACCTCCTCTCTCCCTGCCCATACATGCTCTTCCCCCCCCTTGTCTCCCTCCCTGCTCACTTGTGCCTTTACACCATTTCTTCCCTCCATCTATGGACTCAGAACAAAACATTTCACATACGCAGACATCGTGAAGGAGGGGCATTGGGAACAGGACCTCCTTCAAGGAAGGCACTGGGCCGACCCCGACCCCCTTCCCTCCTTACGATACATCTGACAAAGTCACCACTATTCCTACAAAGTTTAACGAGGCCACCTCCACATGTCTGACCTCAACCTCGGAAAGACAAATGGACACACAGACAGACACTCATTCTCTGTTAAAGATATAGACTGTGCCTCTGGAACAGTCCCTATTGATTATTTCTATGTTCTGTCTTTAGTCAAATTAGAAAATGAATAAGCATGATTTGCATAATTACAACAGTTTAAAATAGTTAATATTCCAGTGCTTGCTCGATATTTATATATTATATATTATATATTACATGACTGGTAAATATTAGTATGATTTAAAATTTTATTTGTGTTATCGATTTGAAAGTGATATAAACATATGAAGCTGCAATATATTCATGAATGGTTAAAGTGCTATGTAAATTTTCGGGTGAGTTCATGCCTAGCGATCGAGGTGTGTGAATATAATCTTCTTATCTATGTGAACATTATTTATAGGACTAATTTATTTTTGTATTATAAACCATTAATATTATTGCTGGCATAGCATGAGTAAATTTTTATATGAACTGTGAAGTAAAATTATCATTTATCCCTTCCTGTTGTTCAGTGATGCCTAGACAGGAAGAGAGTGAGACAATTAAGACTGCTAACTGTGGGTTTTTTGGAGTGCTGTTTTTTTTTTTTTTTTTTTTGCAGGGATATTCCTGCGCGGGCCCTAAGCCTCTGGCTGGCCCACTGGGCGGGCCCTAAGCCTCTGGCTGGCCCACTGGGCGGGCCCTAAGCCTCTGGCTGGCCCACTAAGTGTTGCTTGTTTCTGTTTTACTTGGGCGGAGTATGAGTATTTATGACTCGTATGGTCGCTTCAGTAAGATTTTGCCATATGTGTTTAGCAACTTCTGCTCTGTTGAATCTAAGTTGAAATCTTAATGGGTTTGTAACTGTGCACTGTGTTAGATAATGTTCCAGTGGTCTGTCGGGCATTTCTCCACAGTGCTGACATTTCCTCTCATCTTCCGGAACCTGTAAGCCTATTTCCCATGCACATGGGTATCCAAGCCTGATGCGATGTAAATGCACTTCTGTTGCTCTACTGCTCCCTTTCATCAAACTAAGTGGTTCGTAGTTGGTTGAATTCTTGTACCAACCCGCAGATCCTGATGTTGCAACTGCTGTGTTGTGGTCACTGTACATCTTTTGCATTGCTCTGTTTCTAATTACTTTCTTAATCTGTGATAGACTCTGTGGTATGTAAATGTCTACATTTCTTCTCTTAGTTGCAAGTTTTGCAGCTTCGTCTGCAATGTCATTTCCTATTATTCCCACATGACTTGGCACCCAGTTGATAAGTACCCGTCGGCCTTGTCGTTTCTGTGTTTGCATTAATGATACGACATTTGTGATCAGACGTATGTTATCACATGTGTTCTTGTTGCAAGGTTCTCGAATGAACCTGCGGTTCATGTCAATGGCGGTTCTCGAATCTGTATGTAAGGGTGCTGGTAATGAAGCAGGAAAGTTATTTTATGAATGCATAGCTATTATTAGCTTAGGCGACCCGACCACGGCGGTCTCCGGGTTTGGAGTCCCCTGTGTCTTCTTTTACCAACTTCGAGGTAAACGTCGGAGCTAGAGCCCCTCGGGCAGTTCGATGTTACCTTCAACCTCGTTCTGACAGTTCCTGCACCGTCGTTGGAACCATTCGTATTGGTGTTTGCCTTTCCATTGGAGACTTTCGGCGCCGTGGAGAAGGAAGGGGGGGGGGGGTACCTGCTGCATGGGTGACAGCTTCTGCCTCGTATCAACCTACCCTGGCTTTGCGCCCAGGAGAAGCCACTCCAGACGGATCACCAGAGCGCAACTCCATAGTCTCCTGAGACTGATGGATGCCTACTACTATTAGCTTGCAACTATGGGTGTACACTCTTGACTAGGCCTGTGTCTATGATCCTGTGTTGCAAAATATTTTAATTATTTTCTCATTAACCTGTCAACAAGCACAAATATTCTTCGAGTAAAATTGCCTTTTTTTAATCTATGTACAAATTTATGAGAACAATGTTTCATACAGAATTTTAATTCAAAATTCGTCATTCTAAACTGAAAATCAAATGTATTCCAAAAATAATTTCTGTAAATATCAAATAACATCATATTAATTAAAAACAAATGGAGTACCCAGCAGTGCAGAGGCAGACTATAGATGATTGCAGCATTTAAATGTAGCGAGATCAGGTCGACCCCGTGCTTGTTGGGAGCCCAGATCGACCCCGTGCTTGTTGGGAGCCCAGATCGACCCCGTGCTTGTTGGGAGCCCAGGTCGACTCCGTGCTTGTTGGGAGCCCAGGTCGACCCGGTGCTTGTTGGGTGCCCAGGTCGACTCCGTGCTTGTTGGGAGCCCAGGTCGACCCGGTGCTTGTTGGGAGCCCAGGTCGACCCGGTGCTTGTTGGGAGCCCAGATCGACCCCGTGCTTGTTGGGAGCCCAGGTCGACTCCGTGCTTGTTGGGAGCCCAGGTCGACCCCGTGCTTGTTGGGAGCCCAGGTCGACCCGGTGCTTGTTGGGAGCCCAGGTCGACCCCGTGCTTGTTGGAAGCCCAGATCGACTCCGTGCTTGTTGGGAGCCCAGGTCGACCCGGTGCTTGTTGGGAGCCCAGATCGACCCCGTGCTTGTTGGGAGCCCAGGTCGACCCCGTGCTTGTTGGGAGCCCAGGTCGACCCGGTGCTTGTTGGGAGCCCAGATCGACCCCGTGCTTGTTGGGAGCCCAGGTCGACCCCGTGCTTGTTGGGAGCCCAGGTCGACCCGGTGCTTGTTGGGAGCCCAGGTCGACCCGGTGCTTGTTGGGAGCCCAGGTCGACCCGGTGCTTGTTGGGAGTCCAGATCGACCCGGTGCTTGTTGGGTGTCCAGGTCGACCCGGTGCTTGTTGGGAGCCCAGGTCGACCCGGTGCTTGTTGGGAGCCCAGGTCGACCCGGTGCTTGTTGGGAGCCCAGGTCGACCCGGTGCATGTTGGGAGCCCAGATCGACCCGGTGCTTGTTGGGAGCCCAGGTCGACCCGGTGCTTGTTGGGTGTCCAGGTCGACCCGGTGCTTGTTGGGAGCCCAGGTCGACCCGGTGCTTGTTGGGAGCCCAGGTCGACCCGGTGCTTGTTGGGAGCCCAGGTCGACCCGGTGCTTGTTGGGAGCCCAGGTCGACCCGGTGCTTGTTGGGAGCCCAGATCGACCCGGTGCTTGTTGGGTGTCCAGGTCGACCCGGTGCTTGTTGGGAGCCCAGGTCGACCCCGTGCTTGTTGGGAGCCCAGGTCGACCCGGTGCTTGTTGGGAGCCCAGGTCGACCCGGTGCTTGTTGGGAGCCCAGATCGACCCCGTGCTTGTTGGGAGCCCAGGTCGACCCGGTGCTTGTTGGGAGCCCAGGTCGACCCGGTGCTTGTTGGGAGCCCAGGTCGACCCGGTGCTTGTTGGGAGCCCAGATCGACCCGGTGCTTGTTGGGTGTCCAGGTCGACCCGGTGCTTGTTGGGAGCCCAGGTCGACCCCGTGCTTGTTGGGAGCCCAGGTCGACCCGGTGCTTGTTGGGAGCCCAGGTCGACCCGGTGCTTGTTGGGAGCCCAGGTCGACCCGGTGCAT